AGCTGTGTCTCCCTTCCCACTTCCCCTAGGGGCCTGGGCAACTCTCAACCCAGAGTGTGTTCACTTTACTCCAGAACCACACCTTGCCACAAGAGCAGACACTGTCCCTCAGGAACCAAGGCCCAGTGACTGGAGTGAAATTCAGGGCCTTGCCTGCCACCCTCTGGGGGAGGAGCCAGACTCTTTCTCAGTCTTCTGTGACTGAGAGAAGTTGTTAAATGCCATGCCTTGGCACTGAGAAGCTTGAGGCTCAGATATTGAGCCCAGGACATTTTGACTAGGCCAGGCTGCACAGGTATGTTTTTGGTGACTAGAATATAAGTCTCTCTCTTTCTTCCTTCCTCTCAATTCCTGGTATTCTGTTGCCATCTTTCTCAGACTTATACATCTATGTATTACTCCTTTCCTCTACAATTATGCATATATCCTGTGTACATAGGGTCTCTGTTCTTCCTCAGGAACCATCTGGACACAGGAGACTTCCAGAAACTTGGCCTTTGACATCTGGAGAGAGGAACCAGTGAGCAAAACAGCAGGTATCCACTCTGACCCGACAGACAATGTGATTTGCTTGTCAGGATCCAGACTTGCCTCTCTGAGACTTGCCCACGTGAGAGAGAGCTTTGTTCTATGATAGAGTGCTGCTGGTGTTGCTCTCTTTCTTAGGGGTGGTGTACTCTGCAGTTGTTCATGACACAGCCTGACCTGGGCCTGACAGGGTTAGCGAATGAGATCTGGGTTTGAACTGAACTGAACATGGGCATGCAAAAAAAGCATCCCCAGGCCTGGAGGTCTGAGAAGTTCAAAAAGCAGGGAGGAGGGCTGAGTGAAGACTGCAGTGGTAATCACTGGCATGGAACCAAGACCCAAACGTAGGGATCCTCTTGTTCCTCTTGTTCAGCTGCATTTGCAACCTGCTCCAAGCTCCAGTTGGAAGGAACAGCACAGAGCAGATCTCGATCCAACTACAAGCAGGAATAGTCCTTCTCTCTTCTCTCTCTAGAGACAGAGGGCCAAGAGAGAAGAGACCGTGGTCCTGAGTGCTTTTAGAGTCATCCAAGTCCAGAGTCAAAACCAGAACAAGCCCAGGTGTTAATTAATATTTTTCCACCTGGAAATAATAATAATAATAATAATAAAAAATCCATGTCCAGATGCCACTGTTTGTTATATAAGTGACCCAATAATATAAGCAGTAATCTTAAACATTAGTCCCCTGTCCTTTATTGTTGTCAATAAGGAAGTTGTCAGCAGGGATCCTGGCAAAGAGTGGTTTTACAGGAAGGACTTGTAAGTAGCCTGGATGCAGGCCAGTAGGAGGTACACAGAGCCTGCCAGAACTACTGAGGTATGGAACCCTACAAGGAGACAGGAGATTTGTAGGCAGCTGCATGAAAGGTCCTTCACTTTCATGAAAGGAACAATTGTATAGAACAAGGAAAGGGAAATGCTGGGAACTATTCTATATGCTCAAGCATCTGACGCCATGTGCTCAAGGCCTCCCCATTAGCAATTCCTTCACTTGGTCAAAAACTTCCAACTGCTCTTTGCTGTGGACAATATCAGTCCTTTGTGTTAATTCAAAACTGAATATGTTTCACACTTATGGCACTAAGTGAGGAGAAAGGACTCCCAGGTGGTGGGGAAGACCCCAAGGGAAAGAACCATGCAAGTCAGCACACATCTTGCTTAGTGAGAACAGCTGGGTAGGACTTTCCCTCTCCACCTTGTTCTTAACATGCCCTGCTCTGTTTACACCATAGCACCAGCTACTTCATTCTTGCCTATCATGCACACTGGCCTCAAAAAGAATTTCTAAAAGACTAATCTCATCACATCCCCTCAATTGCTTTTTTCTAGTCAGTGGGATCCATGAATAAAAATAAGACAATTCAAACATCCAGGACCTCATATCTAAGGCAGTCAGGCCCCAAACCAGAGGTTGCATTTGGGAAATTGAGCAGGGTGCTCTGGAGCTCAGGATGTCCCCAGGCTGGGAGTCAGAGAAGACTTCTGAGGAAAGAAGGTGATGGAGAACACGGCACTTACAAATCCCAGAGATGAGGCAAGCATGCCTCATCCCAGAATTGCCCACCCCATCATCCAGTCCAGCAGCAAGGAAGTACATACAGGAAGGTTCTCATCCCAACTCTAAGGGGCATGGGGAAAAGAAGAGCTCCCGTACGGTACCCATAAGCCAGAGCCCTGTGATAGCTGTCAAGGCAACCTGTTCACATGTACCCTGCAGAATGACCAAACAGGAAATGACATGACAGGCACAGCAGGAGAGACTAAGAATATGGGCAACATGAGCTGGCCAAAAGGACTGAAGTGGTATGATGCGACCAAGAATGATGTCGGCGAGAAGTTAGGGGGATCCAATACTCTAGCAAGGATTCAAGAATTCCAAAGTCTTCAATAAGGACCCAGTCAACAGCCTAAGGGGTACCCAGCTAAGATGCAGGAGATGGCTCTGATCTCCCATGTACTGCGGGCTATAGGTGAAAATGGGCTGGATTCAGGGAAGTGACCCTAAAGACAATTTTCTTAAATTGGGACACTCTTCTTATATTCCTAAATTAAAATTCAGGTCATTTTCTGATGACAATTGCATGGAAATTCTGACATTTTAAGTCTGAACATAAAGCTTCAATTCAAATATTATCCAGAAATTGTAATGCCACGTACCTCAGACTGTTCAATACTTCATTTAGTCTTTATTCGACAGCCAGACTTCTCTTCCCTGTGTATCCTGCCCTCTCTAGAGCTGGGTTCTTAGAAATACTGGTACCAAGTCTGGTAGTGGCAATCAGAGGAGGAAGGAGAGATGCTCTTGGCACAGAAGTTGTGACTTGAGCAGGACTCTCCTGAGAAGGCTTTACTGGAGAACAGGCAGAAGGATGGCTCTTTCCTAGGAATGTCTTTGGAAGTGTTCAGGGTCCTTCAAGGGGACCCTAAGACACATCAGGTCCTCGGCCTTCAGGATTCAGTGTTCACTGCCATGTTTTGATAGCTTTGATATTTTGTGGCCAAACCTGCTGGTTTAGGATTAGACCGGATACAAAATTTGGGCTCAGCCTCAGGCACTTGTGAGGAGGAAGTTAGGGACAAGGTTTAGGGTGGTTAGGCAGTAGAGACCTAAGGGCCCGGATGGCCTTTCTGAATGAGGATAGCAGAACATTCTGGGCTCAGCTCTCTTCTTCCTGCTGTACCCTCATCCTTTTCTGAAGAAATGAGCCACAGGCAGCATTATGCCATTCTCGGTGACCTGAGCTCACACCCAACTTCTATGCCTCCTGAACAACATCCATGCAATCGCAAGCCTAGTTTCCCCTCTGCAAGGCGTGCACCAGGAACTGTCCTTCACTTGGTCCTTACATTGCTAACAGTCACTGAGCTCCTTACCCCTCTCATTTACTTGATAAACACTTATTTTCATGTAAATACATGTGGAAGACACCTTTGCTCCAAATTTGCCTCTCTGCCCTTCTGGCCTCTAATCCAAATGGGTGTTACACTCCGAAGTAATATTCCAACTGGCTACTCTGGCAGACACATGCTCAACTCCTTATGCCTCTGGGTGGCCTACACTTGTTATTATGTTCTAGAGGGCTAAGCCAAAAGAAGTGCATACCTCTGCTTTTTACTTGCTTTATCCTCTATTTAAAGACGAGGAGAATCTGTTCCCTACACCCAGGTCTATACTTCTCAGGTACACTGAGGTGGGGATGCATGGTCAGTGGGGTCCCTTTACCAACCCCAACCAGAGACTGGCCTGCTTATGCACAGAAACACAGCACTTGCAGACTGCAAGACCTAAATGTAGCTATTACAGGATGATATTACATGATTAACAGGCATGTCTCATGCTTAGTTTTGGGGCCCATTGGCTAAATGGTGGCTAATACTGTTTTAAATCTGTCTTAGCACTGACCACCAAATAGCCCAGAGTTTGAAGAGGATCTTGGGAGCACATTCTAATCTCCTTATCACAGTGGGGTAAACAGGGTACAGAGTGCATGCATATTGATGAGAAGGATGCCTAAGGTCAGAGATACAACTTGCCCCAAGTCATCACAGGTGTGGTAGAAAGATATGGTGGGGGCCAGAAACACAGCGGTCTAAATCTTAGATCTTCTTCAGTGAATACCACCATTTCCCAGGTAGACTCTGACCTTAACCATTTCACCTGTCATAGCCAGGGACAGGAAGTATGGATTGAGTATAGAAAATGTAAATTTGGCTTTCCTTGATGCAGTTGACCCCATTCTTTGCAAGAAAACTTAAACTTTCCTGGGTTTCAGTTTCTTCCGCTGCAAAGCAAAGAACCTTGGTGAGGGTTGGAGGTGAAGGTCTATGAGACACCAATAGCTTTACAAAGATGATCATAGACTTCCGTCTTCCCTCTTCTCCCTCTTATTCAATAAAGAAAAATTGTATTAAACTGATGACTAAGAGTTCCAGGACAGCCAGGGCTACACAGAGAAACCCTCTATCGAAAAAAAAAGAAAAGAAAAAAAAAAGAAAAGTGGTTTTAGCTGGGCGGTGGTGGTGCACCCCTTTAATCCCAGCACTTGGGAGGCAGAGGCAGGCGGATTTCTGAGTTCCAGGCCAGCCTAGTCTACAGAGTGAGTTCCAGGATAGCCAGGGCTACACAGAGAAACCCTGTCTCAAAAAAACCAAACCAAAACAAAACAAAACAAAAACTGATGATTAAGAAAATGGAACTTCAGCCTCAGCTCCACATTCACTGTCCTTAGTTCCTCCTCTACAAATCAGATGCTTGGGCACCTTGATTTCTAAATTGTGTGTGTGCATGCAAATATATGTGCATGCCGGTCTATACAATGGCAGCAGGCAAAGAGAGGGACAGAGCAAGGTATGCAGGGGAAGGCACTGCACTTAGAGGAAAAGTGGGCAGTACCTCACATGCCAGCAGGACTCCTCCCTTTCCCAAAGGCTAATAATACTTGGGTTTGTCTAATCATTAAGGGAAAGGAATGAAGCCAGCAGGACATCAAAGTCCAGCCTGCTGAGAACCAACAGTAACAGATGATCAACGAGCTAGCAGCAATGCAGCCTGGAGCGTCAAGGAATGGAGTCAGAGCTGAGACAACAGCACACCCAGCCCTGGGCTCTGGAGTCAGCCTGCACACCTATGACATCGTGGTGGTGGTCATCTACTTCGTCTTTGTCCTTGCTGTGGGAATTTGGGTGAGTGGGAAGGAAGTAATGCTGAAGCCTGGCAGGAAGGAAGAAAAGCCTCACTCTGAGCTCAGAGAGAAGAGAGAGAGAGAGAGAGAGAGAGAGAGAGAGAGAGAGAGAGAGAGA